GCTCTCGGAGAGGCCGCGGGAGCCCGGCCCGCCCTCCGCCAGAGGCACCTCGGCGGCGCCGGCAGCGGCGAGGAGAGGCCGCGCTTACATGTTTGTGCAGCGCCGGCTTCACCTGCCGCGAGTTTGATTTAGGGGTGTGGCCTCAGGTAGGACACGGCGAACGCAGGGCCCGGGAGAAGTCGCAGAGGGGCGCGGGGGCCGCCGCCAGGAGCCTCTCAGCCCGAGGGGGGCGCCCCCGGCTCAACCCTTTCCCTCTAAGCGCTCGGCTCCAGCTCCTGCCGGCCTTTTGCCTTCGGGCGCTGATCCTGGCCGGCCCGCTGTGACCTACACGTGGCCGCTCGGACCCTGGGCTGCCGCGTAGAGGCCGGACCTGCATTAACCGCTGAGCGCCTCACTGCGTAATTAATTCTTTAATTTGCATTGCAGATGCACACGGGAGGTGCTGTGGAGTGGCGCGCGCCCACCCACACACCCTGGAAAGCCCAGCTGAAAACTACCACCTCGATGAGGCCCTAAGACTGTCTTGGGGTAGCCCCCAGGTGCAGGCAAGAAAGCGGGATTTAAACAGATTCCAATTTTCTCGTCAGAACTTGCTCAGTTCTGAGAGCCCGCTGGCCTCAGGACTGTAGGGTAGGGGAATCTCTGGGGGAAGAAAACCTCCAGGAGCCCTGTACCCCCAAATAGAGGGTAAGTCCGGGTTCCAGAGCCAGCATCCCCTCGTTGTCCTCAGCAGCGCCCTGGCCTAAGACCCCGAGTAGTTCACTGTGGTCTGCCCTTTGCCCTTATTTCTTCTGGATAAGAGAGTGTTTCTCCTTTGTTTATGTTGTGGAGGAGGGGCAGGGGCCATCTGTCTCTTCCCCAAACAAGGAAGTGAGAAGACTCTTACTGTCCTTGGGCACCCAGAGAGGGCTGTGTCCAGCTGAGGGCTGAGGGTATTCTGGCTTGGAAATTCAGTATATCTGAACCCCAAATGGCTGTCCCCAGGCAGTGGTAGGCATTGGGGACAGTACAGGAATTTTTATCATTGTTGGGCACCTCAAACTTTAGTTATTAATTGAGGTCATGTATCATTTTTGTTCACTGGTTCTTTAGCCATATCAGTGCAATTTATGGATGAAGAATTTGCATTATGGGCTCAATTGCTTACGCAGTTTACTCTAGGCTCCCACCAAACAGAGCTGAGGTAGCTAGTGGGAATTTGCCACCCAAGACAGGCCTGCACCCTGTCTGCCTGCATTACAAAGCCCCGGTGTCCTCAGCCTCCCTGGGAACGGTGTGGTAGTGCCTGGCGGGGACGCTGGCTATGGGAAGTGGGTTGTGTTGGGTGGGAAGGTTGGGGGGATTTGTTGTTGAGGCTTTGAAATGAACCATGAACCAAAGCTAGAATGAAATACATTACATTTTTGAACCTAGAATCAATACCCTAAGTTAATTTTTACTGACACACACATGAATTATTTTCTTTTGATACAAATACCTTATATATCAAAACCACAGCTCGAAGCAGTACTTTTGAACTGTTAAACTACAATAAAGTGTGAATGTAAGAATATTATGAGAAATTAACTGATATTTAATTTGGTTTGAATCCAGCCTTGGGTATCCCAGAAAGGCTACTAGCCAAGTCCCATCCCTACCCCGTAGGGAGAGAGTCTAGAGAACGTTGGGAGTACCTCTCACCTTTGACAGCTGCAATGGGGTTTGGGGCCTTAAGAAGGGCAGAGACTCCCAAATAAGACTGACTGAGGAGGTAATAAATCCCCTGTCTCTGGAGGTGTTCAAGATAGCAGATAACTATCAGTAGATATGCTAGAGAAAAGGTTCCTGTAGTGGATACCACACTAGACTATGGGCCTCTTGGGCCCATCACAACCCCACATATCTGCTCTTCCAGGGGGTCTACAGGAGGGTCGGCTGCAGTGAATTGGATGACTCTCTGCATATGGGGATGGCTGGATGTGAGGATGGGTCCTGAGTGATTAATTTCTAACTCTTCCGCACTTTATCTTCCTCTGATCCATGCCCAACTCAGCCCTGACCAGGAGGAGGCTGCAGAACAACAGTGTGAGAAGTGGCAGGGACAGTCTGGGGACAGCTTCTCCTCTAGCATCCATGTGCCTCCTTCTGGCCTATTCCCAGAGTGCCGTGCCAAGCACAAGGAGAGGGACGAGGTACACCCTCCTTTGAAGAGCCTTGACAGCTGGCGTAGGCCTTCTGGTTGAGGGAGTTGTCCACGCACTGCTGTTTTACAAACTGGGCAGGAGCGCTGGACAGGGACACAGAGAACTGATATTTCGCCATGGGCAATGGCTCTTGGAGTTCCACCAGCTCTGGGGCACTGGTTGACCAGCACGGTCTGGGAGGGCATGTGGGCAGGGCAGGCACTTCCTGGCTGTCAGCCTGTGGCTGTGAGGGCCTGTTATATCAGCTGAGCACCTATAGCCAGGGCTGAGAGCCCAGGTTAGGGCCCAAGAGGAAAGATATGGATCGACTTGTGGTTTAAAAACACAAAGACTTTATCCTTTCCCTGCACCTTTCTGCTCCGTGGCTTGAAGAACTTCCTCAGGATCAGAAATGCTGCTGACAAGCCCACTTTTTTCTTAGGGTCCTTTTTCTGGATGACTCTGCCCTCCTCTACTACTGTTAATAATGCCCGGCAGTTATGAAATGCTTCCGCTGGGCCAGGCCCCACGCTAAGCTATTTACACATATCATCACTCAAGTCTTCACAACAACCCTGGCACAGAAGCACTATACTATTATTATTCTCATTTTGCAGATGAGGGAACAGATGAGGATCAGATTGATTAAGGAACCAGCCCAGGGTCTTGTAGCTACTGAGTGGTGGAGCCAGAATTTCGACCCGAGCGTATCTGTCCCCAGTCTGTTCTCTTAACTCTGTACTGCTCAGAGGTCCCTGGTTCCAAGGACTGTCTGATATGACTTGATCGTGTGGGGTCAGGTCCCTGGGAGCAGTTGGTAAGTGAGGCACTAATAATTTGCCTCTTTTTGTCTACTCCAACTGGTACCCAGGAAGGGTAAGTCATGTGACACAGAGAAGTAGGGAGATATCCCTCCTCCATTTCTGACCGGGGCATGAGGACCCCACATGGTACTGTGTATGAGGGGCAGAGGGGACCTCAGTTTCCCCGACCCTGTCACTGAGTCATGAGCCAACACCCTGCCTGTAGTCCCTGCATCAAGCCGTCTGTCCTTTACAGACCCAGAGTGGGACAGGCGCCATCAGGCCCACATGCAGGTACTGCTGGGGAGGTGGGAGCTGGCGCACCTGCTTGCTATGCTGCTGGAGGAAGCCCTTGGGGTCTGAGCTCCAGGAGGGTAGCTGCCCACTCCCCCTGAGCCCCCAGCCCTAAGAGAGAGGCACTCTTCTTAGAGGAAGATCCCTTCCTCTCCTTCTTTTCCAGGCTGTCCAACACCTGTCCCTTCCTGCTCTTGAGGTGGCCTGGGCCAATGCTCTTTATCCTGTTGGGACCATCTGTCTCTGCCAATGGGGCTGAGAATCAGGGGCCAACTTCTGAGGGTCTGGGATGTGAATTGAGAGAGCTGACATTGCCAAGCCCTTGGGCCCCTTAGGAAGGAGGGAGGTAGACTAGCTGCAGAGACCGTGGGTTCTTGCAGGATTGGAGCCCTCCTGCCTTTTTAGACTTCCAGCATGTCTCAGCCTTAGTGTCTTGATGTGTATAATGGGGGAGAGGGTGCGCCTCTCCCTTGGGAAGGTGGTGGAATGATGAGGCCTAGAGCTTTGGGGTACAGGGGCCCTGAGGACCAGCACCCCCAAACAGGCTGACAGTTTTTGACCCTCAGCCCTCTCAGCTGCTGAAGGAACCCCCACATCATGCATGCACACAGCTGCCACAGGGAGCAATGGAGCCCAGTTGAGTGTGCACAGTGGCAGGACCAGGGTTCTTCCAGGAGAACTCGCTACTACATCAACCCAACAGATCCCAGAGAGAGAACCCCAGCCCCAAGTTGCAGCACCATCTGGGCCCAGTTAGGTGTTCGGGAAAAGTCCATGGGATTCCCCTGCCTGGCTGCTGGATAGATGTGTCCTTCTGCCACCCTGACCCTCAGCTGAAGGAACCTACCACACCCAGAAGCCCCCAGCCTCTTTTTCTTTCTTCTTTAAGGGTGTAACTGTACCAGGCTCCCTATGCCAATGAGAATACATAGGCCTGTCTACCCTAAACGCAGACTGACACTGGGGGACGAACTTGCCTGATAGTCCCAGAGGGGCCTGGTGACCTGCATGAGCCACTCAGATGCAGAGACCACTGTCCACCCGTGTCAGGGGGCTGAAGCAGGGGCAGGGCAGGCTGCAGCACCCTTCCCAGGTGCTTGGGGGTATGAGCTACGCTAGGGAGGATGGCAACAGAAAGAGCCATCTCCGTGCTAAGGACACACTCATTTACAGACATGATGAATTCATTTAATATCTTCTCACTATGATCACTTTGCAGCTTCTGCTCTTAATGGGCTCCAAAGTTCCATCCAAATGTCTGTTGCTGGCAGTTTAGCTCTCTGGCTGGCATTTGTGCTGGCAGAATTAACAGCTGGAAGCACCTGAATGGAAACCCTTCATTGTCCTTCCTTTTCTCCTCTGAGCCTCCAGCAGCTGCCCCGGGTCTGAGGCTGGGACAGGGTTGTGACTGATACTCAAGTCTTGGGCCCAGGGTCTGACTGGTAGGAAGGACAGGTGAGTTGGGGGAGTGGAAGGCTTGTGCCTGATCAGGTGAGAGCTCCGGCTGGAGCCCAGGGGAGGAAAGAGTCTGAAGAAGCATGATGTTAGTTGTCCGCCCCCCAACCCCAGTCCTCTGAGAGGAACACCTTAGCCCTAAATGCACACGGTTCATAGGCTCTGGGCTGTGTGGCCTCTTGGGAGCATTGACCATCTGGCATAGAACCTGTGAATCTCCACCTTCTGCATCCACCCTGGGTCAGTGTCAGAAGGCATGACCTAATTGCCATTTGGCTGGGCAGGGTTGTGCTTAGATGGTCGTAGGGTGGGGGTGGGACGGGCAGCCACTGCCATCTCTTCTCAGGGTCCTTTCTTCTTTAGTCTCTGGCCCACACCTTGATTGGCTTGGGGTGAGCCTGCAGGACCTTCATGTGAACACTGACATGAAGGGTCCTTGTGTGTACTGCACCACTCACCTCCCCCGCCCCAGCGGCTGGCACAACAGTCCTTGCTGGGATGATGGACTGTGTAGGGCAGCTCCTCCTGTCTCACCATCCTCTCCTCCACCGGAGCCCTGCGTGCTTGCTAACTCTCGGCCTTGCATTCTTGCCCCTGGGTCTGGCCCCATCCCTCCCCAGGATCTGAGACCTCTCCACCTTTCCTGATCCCAGACACACCAACTTCCAGCAAAACCTGCTCTAATGGAACATAAAAATCTTCTTGTCCAGCTTGGGCCTGGGGACAGGGAGACAGATGACAGATGACACGCCACCTGCTTCTGCGATCTGACCTCTGATGGTGGACATTTAAACTCCTGCCTGGGGTCATGGTATGTGACCAGTGGAAAGGCCACCTAAGGTAAAGGGTCTCCTGTGTGCCTCCCCCTCCCAGAGTCTGCCCCAGAAGCTCTTTCCTTCCTAGGTGCTGTCATCATTACTCCCTCCTTTGGCTTAAGACATTGACAGGCTTGTTGTTTAAATGTAAAATTTTTCCTGGGAGAATAGAACTGGAGTCAATCCATTTATAAATTAGCTGGATTTGTTTATCAGAGTAGCCTGGTCCCAGGCATGGGCCAAGCCTCTCCTTGGGGGTGGGGGGCACTGGTGAATGAGCCTGGGCTGAGCTGGGGCCCCATGGCAAGCAAGATGTAGGGGGTGGGGGATAGCAGGGCCCAGCCCCTGTTAGCACAGGAGGCACAGGGGACCTGCCCAGCCTCTTAGTGTGTCAGGCCAGACTGACTCTCTCAAGCCATCAGGTTACCTGGCAGCTCTCACCTGCCCCTGCTTGGGGGCACCTTTGATTATGCTGTCGAGGGAAGGGCAGTCGGGGCAGTAAAAGAGTCCTGGGCTGGGAGACAGTGACGCCTGGGCCTGAAACTGGCTCTGCCCCCAGTTAGCTCTGTGATCTCAGGACCTCACTTTCCTTCCCGGGGTTCTGCTTCCCTCTATACAATTATGAGGGCTGCATTGAACATTCTCAGGGCCTCCTTTTGGCTTGAATATGTATGGTACAGCAATCCAAGGCAATCCCAGGTGACCAGCTCCTTTCTGGGACAGACCTTTCCTCCTCTGCGCTCTTCCCCGCTGGACGCACAACAGGACCCTGTTCCCTGCACCTCTTTGTGCCTTCTCGCACAAGTCCATATGGAGTCTCACTCAAAGCTGAAGGAAAGAAAATGGAGGCTGGAGGTGCCAGGCCAGGATTGAACCAGAGAACCAGTCCTCCCGGTTTTAACCCCGCCACCGCTGTAGCACTCAGGAGCGCGGGCGGGCAGGCAGGCAGCAGGGGCCTTGAGCAAGGTGACCGGTTCGTTGCTATTTGCCCCGAGGTGAGTGGGCAGGGTTCTCACTGCACTGGGATCAGAGACCAGAACAAGGGACCAGCTGACCTGAGCTTTCCGGGCCTGCTTCTCTGAGCGAGCAGAGCCCCTCTCCAGGTCCTGGGCAGCCTGAGTGTGCAAGAGAATACAGCCCTGCCTCCACCCCCTTAGCCAGAGGCCCAGGGCCCCGAGAGCTTAGCAAACTCAGGCAAAGCAGAGCCAAGCAGAAAGGTGCCAGCATTGCTGACTGAGGCAGCTCTTTGGGAAAGGTCGCCACAGAGGATCCACAGGTGTATGAAAAAGATCATTATTGTCCCTCTGCAAAGACCTGGGTCTCTGCACTGCCTGGTGGCTCATGATGAGATTTTATAGAAAATGCTGGCCAGCATGGGTGTCCCTTTGTTGGGGCGGATGTGGCCCCACATAGTTATGAGGGAACCTGGTTTTTATGAACATGCAAGAGTCTGTCATGTTCGGCTTTCCTTTCCACTCCCCCATTGGAGGGCTGTAACCTCCCCCAGGGCAAGGACTCTGCCCTGCTCACTATCAGCACTTCCCACCCCACCCCCACCCCCATGCTGCCACCAGCATTTTGTACTCTAGTTCATCAGACCATCGCTGTCCCTGCCTTGGAAGGACTGAGCCAGATAGAAGGGGCCTAGTGCTGCCTAGAGCCCACAGCTTGCCCAGAAAGGACACGGCCCCCTTAGCTCACACCTCCCACTTCTCACCTTTAGCCGCAGTGGGCCCTCGGGCTGAGCTCGGAAGGCACAGCTTCTCAGGACCAGTCGGCCTGTTGACCTGGGGCAGGAGGACCAGCCCGGCTTTAGGAAGTTCTTTCTGCCTCCGAAGCTTCCATTTTTCATGCTCTATTCCAACCTGCTGGCTAGTCTGCTTCTTTTAGGGACAGGCTGCAGAAGGCCCACTTATAAGTTTTACTAGCACTCTTCCTCCCGCCCCAGTCACCTTCCCACTCAAATGTGGAGGGCATCCTCTGAGAAGGGCTCTGCCTTGACCACAGGTCGGCTTCCCAGGGGTCCTTCCTGCCTTTCGCACCCAGGACACTGCACAGAGGAGCCCCTGGGGCCGTTTGGGTAAGGAATGCAGTCCCTCAGGGTCTCCGCCTCCTCCCTGCCTGGCCCGCCCACCGAGGCAGATAGTTGGTATAAGAGAGCCAGCGACCAGAGCCTTCCCTCAGCCTTTTCCTCTCTTCCTCGCTAAGCCCTGGCCTCCACCCTCTGCCCTGTCCTGGCCCAGCCAGCTGCCACCCTACTGGCCTGCTGTTTGTCTGGGGCTCCCCTGCCTCTGCCACTCTGCCCGCAGTGGGGCACTATCCACTGCTCAGCTCTGTGTACACGGGGCACCCCCCAGGCTTGGAGTCACCTTTTTCCAGGCAGCAGCAGAATACCCCATTTCCTCATTCTGGAGCCAGATGTGGGGATTAATTCAGTGGGAAACACTTGGGTTCATCCTGACTCTGGTCCCATGAACTCCTCCAGGACAGAGGGTATCCTGTTTGTTCTTGGGAGTTATGCCCAGAGTGGGTTTGCTGTGGCTGAGGGTCCCAGACCTGCCTGTAACTCTCCCTGGGCCTGGCACATCCCAGAGAGCTCACAAGAAATGTCTGTCCTTGGGGGACTGATATGATAGGTCCATCGGCCCCCATCCCCACCTTGTGGCCACTCTCAGCTGCACAGGGCTTTCCATCCAGATCAGAGACTCCTGGAAAGCTGGCTCCTGGTGCTGACCCCTCCTGACAGGCACCCTGGTCACAGGAGCTCCCAGGTTTGTCACTCCTGAGCTGTGGAGGGGACCCCTCGCTTGGCCCCAAGGCCTTATTCTCAGCTGGATGAGCTTCAGTGAGGCCGAGGCCCAGGCGCACCACTTCAGGAACCAGGTTCCCACCAAAACAACTTAGGGAAAGACTCTAAGCTGGACCCTCTAACTGTGGTGTGTGATGCCAGGGGAACAGCAAACTACACTGTGTGAGCCTGGCTTCTCGGTGGGGCTTTATAAACCCGAGCTCACTGGGCTTGACATCCCTGGAGCCGAGCAAGTCAGTAACCCTGAAGGGGAGTCTGAGGCCGGTGAGGAAAGATGGTGCTCTCAGCCAGGGAGCCCCCAAACCCAGCCTCACCCCAAGTTTCACAATCAGAATCTGTGCCAGGCCAAGCTCAGCATAGGGGTGTGCCTTGGATCCTGGGGCCCAGCGGATGCTCCGTAGATGTGAGGGGAGTGTCCTAAGTGGTGAGGCTTCCTGGACGGGTGTTCTGGTGGCACTGGCGTGGCCCAGCAGGAAGGGGAGGTAAAGGCAGGAATAGCAGAAAGAAGAATTTCTCTCTGGCCAGGAAGCCAGAGGGCAGCTTGCACTGAGTTGCTTCAAAATCCATGTGGGAAGGGAGTGGCATGTCGAGTGGGGCTCAGCCCAGGATCCCACAGCTGCCGCCCGGGTCCCAGGTGGTGGGCAACCTAGACATCTCGGCACCCCAACCCCACCCAGGGGTTCCTGAGCCACGGAGGCAGCAGGGATCTTACCTTGGCCGTCCTCCGGGCAGCTGGGCCCCAAGCTCCTCACTGCAGGCCGGTGCTTGTCTCTAGCCCAGGAAGTGGCACTCCCTTCAGGCAAAAAAGAAAAAAAGGGAAAGGAAAAGAAAACCTCAGTGCTTTTCTCACCCAGCCGCTTCTCCCGAAGGCTCCTGGTTGGTGTCGTCCTGCCTCTGTGGGCACACAGCCTCCTCCCTCAGGCGGCTTACTCACCGGTGTGCCTGTGAGGCTGCCAGCTGTGTGGGGGATGCAGGGGGCCCACGCCCCTCAGCCTGACACACTGGAGCATGCATGCCCTGGGAGGTCGGGGCCCTAGGGGCTGGCCTGAGCGCCAGCCAGGTCATGGGAGAGTAGAGCCCTGGGCAGCACTCTTCTAAGGGATGCACCCACGTGAGCTCGGAGGAGGACACTCAGAGGTGCTGACAGGCACTGCATGGGAAGGGGACAGAATTCCTGCTAGGAAGCTGCTTCCTTGATGCCCTGGGCTGGTGGAAGAGGGGGCAGCCCAAGCACTGGCCAGCCCCCTGGCGGGTTGGCTTCCATCCTCAGCCAGCCCGTTTGGACCACTCCCTACCCTGGCGACCTGCCGGTCTCTCTGTCCTGTGGACTCAGAGAGGGCCTGGGCCTGTCTGAGCTGGAGCTGCTTCTCACCTGCTCTGGCCAGTTGCCTGGTGTCCCTCTTCCACAGCAGCACCCCGGGGCCTGGGCGGGCCCAGCATCAATTAGGACGAATTG